GCTTTGGGAGGAACGGTTGGTGAAAGGGCTGGAGGGAGGCAGCATGTTTGGCCTTGCAGTAATAGACCTTGGGTTACTGCTGTCTTCCTCTTGTGAGATTAGAGGAGGTCAGAACATGTGGCCTCCTTGCCGTTTTTGCAATCCTATTTGGAAATAGGGTTTTCTTTTGCTATGCTAACAAGAGTATACCAGTGTAGGGTGGGTCCTAAACCTAATCACTTCGCTGTTATTATAACACCAGACTAGATATAGACATACGGGGGAAGGCATATGCCAAGGAATGCTGAGGATCACCAGAAGTCCCCAGAAACTAAGAGAGAGGTTCACAGAAACTGTCGATACAGCCACAACCTAATTTGAACTTTTAGCCTCCAGAACTGTGAGAAAACACATTTCAGCTCTTTAAAAGCTATCTACTCATTATATTTCTGTTACAGCAGTACAATGTAACTACTTTTGTTTATAAAATTCACAATTATTTAAAGTGACACAATTTTAAAAATCATTGTCCACTGGTACAGCAAGTACTGATAGATGTTTTGAAATTCAATTCACACATACCTTTTTCACAGAAACAGGAGATAAACATGTCTGGCCACCAGCACTGAAATTGCAGAAGACCTCAATGGCATCTGAAGAACATCCAAGATTTGGATCAATCCAATATTTTCCTATTAATTTATAGTAAAACACAAAGTTATTTAAATGGAAATGCCATGCTAAATTCATTTGATCCATCCTTACAAATTATCACAAAGCTTTAGATAGATGTATTTTATCACAGTCTTACATGTAAAAACTTAGATTTTAAATATATTTACACTTGAATGAATGAAAACTATAAGCATTATGTTTGATACTGATAATGAAAATACTGTATTTTCCATATACCTATCAATCTAATTTTTAAATTGATCTAAGGGCATTTTATAATTTTTGTCAATGTTTATAGAAAGACTGAATTTATTGCTGGAAGGGATAATTGAAAAAAGTGTAATTAAGAATATGAGCTTACTTAAAGTAAATCGGCAACTTAACGTGAATTGTCTAAAGTTCCACAGTTGCTAGAAGGATTAAAGGAAATGTAATATACATGTACATTTCTGTTCTACATCATTAAAACCAAAAGCAACACCATTACTACTGAGTCAATTAAGACTCATAGCAACCCTGTTGGGCAGAGTAAAACTGCCCTACAGAGTTTCCAAGGCTGTAATCTTTACAGAAGCAGACTGCCACATCTCTCTTCCATAGTGGGAGTGGTGGGTTCAAACCATAGACCTTTTGGTTAGCAGCCAAGGACTTAACCACTGCACCACCAGAGTTCCTGTTCTATGTCATTACAGAGTTCAAAATTTATATTTTGTTTAAAAATATAAATAATCTCTCCAAGGAAAAATATGTGTAATACTGATAATTAAAGATAGCAAAAATAATAAGGCATTGTTTTTAGACAGAAAAACATACAATTTAATGGTTATCGTTTTTGTGCTTTCTTCTTCAGGTTTCTACATAGGAATTGCTAAGAGAGGAAAAAAAAAAAACTGAAGCCCCTACAGCTAGCACAAGCTTGCCAATCTTTGCCTCCACTGCCTGCCCAGGAGAGTAAAATGGGGTCAAAGTCTGACTGCAGGAAATCCTGATTAAAAAATATTGAGTTATCATCTTAATTCCAGAAGAAGTGACACTGAAAATCTAACAAAGCATCTTACTTCAAATTCAAAGGGCAGGAATTTTTGAATGAGGTAGCCTTGCTTTCTTGTTGCAAAAAGGCAGGATAACCAGGCAGTTTTTAATCCAATGTCATTTTCTACACTAGGTAGAGACCCTAGTCCAGTCTAACTTTTGTTGTTGTTAGTTGCTGTGACCTTTCAGCAACAGATTGCCAGGCCTTTCTTTTGATGCACTTCTGGGTGGGTTCTAATCACCAACCTTTCGGCTAGTAGTCAAGCACTTAATCATCTGCTCCACCCGAGGACTCCTACTCTGTTCTTGCCCTATAACAAATATTCCTCCACTTCATCTTAGGCTCCCTCCACTCCATCATTTTAGATTTCCTAAAGCACCCTTGATGCTTCTTCCCTGTACTATTCTACTACTAACCTTCAAAGAGCATACTTACTGAGTTGATGGCTCAGAGGATAAGGGGCTGTCCTTTGCTGCAGTGGTTCTCAAATGTTAGCAGGCTACAGACTTATCTGTTAAAACACAGTTTACTGGTACCTACCACCAGAGTTGCTGAGTCATTAGGTTTGGGGTGGGACCTGAGAATCTGCACTTCTCACAAAATCCCAGTTGATTTTGGTCCAGAAACCACATTTGGAGAACCACTGATCTATTTAAATAGGGAAGAAAGGTGGTCAAGGACATACTCTCATCTCAGTTCCTTTTCTCCACTTCCTCAGATTTTTGAACATTTTATAAAGTTTATAAAAATTACAGCTGGATTTTTCACCAGCATCTGATACAGGTTTCTAGTCTTATCTAATGGGTTAAATACATATCTTCATTCACCATCACTTCCCTTTCAAGAAATACTTTCTTACTGTTGTATGAGTTCAAACAATCTTTATAAAAAGTTTTGCATCGAGCAAACTTTCATTGTTATATGGGATGCAATGCTCTGAAATCGGGCATTATATTGTACAGTGGTAAACTGGTGAGAGCTTCCTAATTCCTTCCAGTGTATGCTGAGATACAGATAAACTCCTATACTGCAATATATTTTTTATTGACCTAAATGTTTAATTCAAAACAGGCTCTTCCCTGAGGACACTGCTTCCCTTAAAGCTCTTTCAAGTTCTGCACAGCCTCTATGGCAATGTGCCTGGAGGGGTGAAAGCATCTTTCTTGCTTCTCATAGTCACCCCAGACCATTATCCCCACTTTTTCCCTAAAAATGCTCCCTGTTGAAATTCCTGTCATCATGCTATGTCACCCATCACCCCTTCTTGTTGCAATCATTGTCATTCATTCCTTGAAGATTTTGACTTTAGGCTGGCAAGCATTTTCAGAAAATCTATTTGATCTAATTATGATGTGTACAACCCTAGGTGTTTCTTTTCCCACAAGTATTTGCACTTACACTAAGGCCACCTAAGAAGTAAACTTAATTCTCTATTTCTTAAACAATGAAATAAACTTCTTTTTGTACAATTCCAATTGCCTAGGTAAGCCAGTGATGAAAGTGTTTCTGGGTATAAACACTTTTAAGAGACTATACAATCCATATCATTTAGTTATTTCTCCTACAAGTAAGGCAGATCTTGAATTGCATTTCATAATGATTTATACATCTAATGCTGTTGGTCTTTTCAATTCTATAGAATTGTATTTATACTCTTAAATATGGGAAATAATCAAGTTTAGAATTTTAGGCACTGAACTATAACTATTATTTTAATTTTTGTAGTAATCTAGGGTAGGAATCATCTATAGAAGTTAAGTATCAATGAATATTTACATTGCACTTCTAGACTAGCAACAGATATTTTTGGAAAAGTATATATACACACACTCTCACAGGAATGTATGCATGTGTGCATATGCAGAGGCCCCAGGTACTGCAAATAGTTAAGCCCAAGGAGGCTAACCTAAAGGTTGGAGGTTTGAGTACAACCAGAGGTGCCTTGGAGGATTACTTCCATGAAAACCCCGTGGAGCAGTTTGACTCTGACACACATGGGGTCCCCCTTCACAGAATCAACTTAATGACAACTAGCAGTGGTGCCAAGATAAACAGATAGATAGATAGATAATCCATTGCCCTCAAATCTATTCTGACTCACAGTGATGCTATGGAATAGTGGAAAACTGCCTCATAGTATTTTCAAGGTTGTAAATTTTTATGGAGACAGAGTGCTTCATCTTTCTCCCATGGAGCAGCTAGTGGGTTTGAACTGTCAACTTTCTGGTTAGCAGCCAAGCATTTATTCACTGCGCCACCAGGGCTCCTTGACAGATTTTTAACAAAGCAAAAAACCAAAAAGCCCCACTGCCATCAAGTCAATTTTGACTCATGGTGACCCCCATTGGGTTTCCAAGGTGGTAATTCTTTATGGAGGTAGATTGCCCCATCTTTCTTCTGCTAATCTTCTGGTTAGCAGTCAAATGCCTTAGGTACTACACCACCAGAGCTCCTTTTGACATAGAGAGAGAGAGATAATTAAATAATATAAATGATATAAGTTTATTTCATATCAACATATATGTTATCATGTTGAGACTAGAATTTTTAGCAGAAAAAATAACTACTAATATTGATTGTATAGCTGACCACAGAACAAATAGAAATTAAAGTTATATATTGTACCAGCCAGGGTTTCTTGTCCTTGACTGATGAGTGCTCCATTCTATTAAAAACCTTTCCTTGACAATGATACTCTAAATTAGTTTTGTGCACCTCTAACTAATGAATTTGGTGTCTCTGAAGGGGATAAGAAACTTCCAAGAAAGATTAATCACTCAATTTTCATAGTCACTGATTGTAGAATATACATTAAAATACATTCTGTAAAAATACTATACTATTTTGTAAGGAGTGCGGTGGAGGGAGCTCTGTCATATCTTTCTTCATGTTGCCAACCTTGGCAGTCCTGGATTAGTAAATCCTGATAAGTACTTCTGTATGCCAACCTAAAGGTCAACCCTGTTTTAATTTTTGACATGAACATCCTACATTCCAAACACAAAGTGTAAGCAAATGATATTAAATAAGGGTGAAGTGGGAAGAGTTGGATTCAAGAAGGATGTGTATCAGAAGATCTTTGTAATGGGAACTCTTCAACAAGGACACTTTGACATCAGAAATTTATTTCCCTCTGAGAGTATTCTATTCTTGATGACATTCAAATGCCATTGAACATGCTGCTTTGTTTTTATAGGAATGATTAAGATTTGGAATAAATGCACTTTAAATCTCAAACACACTAAAATGATGAAATGAAATCAGATACTATCATTTGAGGAAACCAAGAATTTACCATCTGATACTTTGTGTTCACAGTTAAGTAAATCTTTGCAGGTTTGTGCTGGGTTATCTCGCGTGCCAAGAGGATTCTTGATGCTGTGCAGTAGAAGGCTAAGGTAGTTCAGGGTTTTGAATATCTCTGCACTGTGGTCGAGTAAAGTCACTTCAGTATTCTGGTAGCTCTGCCAAGTCACCATATGAATCATATTAGCAAAAAAAGCATAGAGCAGCATCACAACTATGTAAGTGGAAAAAAAAAGCTCAGATTTGTGCAAATGAGTTGAGAGTGGGTGTAAAAACACTGTATATTTAAAAATATAGGCATATGTGTATGCTTATTAACCTTGGTCATTAATAAGAGATTAAATTCACACCCAAAAGTCTAGTTTTCAAACTGACATAAAACTTAAAAATTATTCTGCCTACTGAATAATTTTTTTTAATATGCAGTGAATAATAACTAGAGTTCAAAAAAGAACAATGAGTAGTGGTAAATAGATAGATTCTAATTTAAGGAACATGGCTAACTTTAACTATTTTTTTTTTCTATAATACCAAATTTCTTACTGTTTTAAATGTTTTTCTGAAAGAAAGTCTATGCATATAGTTCTATTTCATTATATTAAAATAGCTTACTTTGACCTGGAAAATGGTTTCCTATTTTCAATCTGTTTTAAATACAGTTTTTGAGATAAAGCCACAGCTTGGTCTCCACACACATGCACACACAGTCCTGTTTAATTTGGGTATCTAGAGTGCCAATGTAAATAAAGCCAGATATATTACCTCCATCTGTAAGGCAGTATTTGATTCAATCAAAGCTTGAATAGCAGCATTGATATCCATTTGTTTCTGTGTAAAACAAAACCATTTGAGATCAGCAGTAAGATCAACACAGAGTGCAAAGTAAAGGCTGTAAATTCTGAAAGCATTGCTGTTAAAGTATACCAGACTTTTTATCTGAAGGGGGTTTGTTACTTCTATGGTTACACAGATCTTACGAATATTGCTTGCCTTCATCCAAATCTCAAAGATCTCCTAATTAAAACAGGACCAAAGTCTGGCGATCTTAAATGAAAAACTATTTGTCTCTACTGCATGAAAAGACACACAAGAAGTTACTCAAATGGAAGCAGAATGAAATATGATCCCCTATAGTTAATAAATTGTAAAGTGAAGAAAAAATAACTGTAGTAATTTTTAACAGTTACATTCTTGGAAGGAAAACAGAATAAAATACTACTGTCTTGAGGTAGTCACCACATTAGTTTAATCTGATACTTCTGTGGTCTTAAAAACAATTTCTGAAGTCGGAAAATGTACTATTAGTCCCAAAAGAAATAATACATCAAGAACCCAATCTCCTCCTGCATTTAATAAAAAGATATTTTTAGAGAAAGACTCAGTGTAACTATTCGTAAAAGTCTTTTTGCATTTTTTTTAAAAATAAGCTTGGAAACTAAGAAGCACTTGTTGGGAGAAGGTTCTGGGAAATGGCATCTGTGTAAGCAAACCAAGCAATCGAATTTCTTTCAGAATGATTGCGCTGCTAAGGTATCTCTTTACTTGGCGATCCATGCAATAGAAACTGTTTTCAATAGCTTGCTTATAATTTATGGTTGGTAATTTCAAAAACTATTTAAAATGATGGCACAATCAATAAAATGCACTATTCCTGACTCAACATGTGGTTTTCATATTGTGAAAGAATTTTCTCTCTCTCTTTCACACACACACACACACACACACACACAGTCAAACACTGTGATACATGTTGAGGATACAATGGGAAGCAAAAAAGAAACTTGCTCTTTTGGAGCTTAAGTTTATTTGAGGAGATAGGCATTAATGAAATTATCTCAGAAATACATAACTGCAAATTGTGATATGTGCTGTGAAAGAAAAGTATGTGGAACTATCAGAGAAATTAGGGACTGGGGTAGTTAAGTTTGTGTGTCAACTTGGCTGGGCCTGGCTGAGTGGCTGGGCAGCTGGATGTAGTATTCCCCATGATGAGACCAGTAATCAACTCCATGGTGGAATCTACTGTGAGCAGCTGAGCAACTGCCTTAGGGAATGTGGTCTGCTTCCAGTATATAAGGAGAAGCCTTGGGGGATAGTCTTTAGCTTATGGCATGTTTGAACCCTGCATGTGGCCCTGTCATTGCTCAGCAGCTTGCCACTCTCTGCTGACCTTGGAACTTTCAATGGACTTGAATTAATGGCCTGCCGTGTGGTTTGGTAACATCGGGATTGTGCCATTTTATTTGTCAACTTTGGGCTCGTCAGCCTCAGCAGTCAGCAGCTGCCTGAGTGAAGAGATGCCTCTAGCTTCAGTGGGCTGGGAGCAAGAGGTAGAGCTGAAGCCCAAGGCTGAGGGGCTTTCACCCAGCCCCTAGAACCTAGCACCTTGAACTCTGACTTCTAGCTTCCTGAACTGTAAGAGAATAAATAACTGTTTGTGCAAGCCATCCCATTGGTGATATATTCCTGTCAGAGAGGCACTAGGTAACCAGAACAGGGAGTTTTAATTAAGTCTGGAGGGTATAAGAGATTAGAACAGATAGTCTAGGAAGGGTTCCCTGAGGTATTGACATTTGAGTTGAGATCTGAAGAATAAGCAGCAATTTTTAGAATGGGTGCTTTCCAGGCAGAGGTAACAGCTTTGCACAAAGCTATGAGGCAAAAGGAACATAGCCTGATCAAGAGCAGAAATATTAGCCTAAAATGGTCTCAGATTACATAATTCTGACCATTATGCTTATATGAATGGGCAGATTTTTGGCATAGGCCAAAGATATTGACATTAAACATGGTGTGGTGTTTAAGTTTGTGTGTAAACTTGGCTGGGCCTGGTTGAGTGGCTGGGCAGCTGGTGGCAGTTATTCCCCATGGTGAGACTGGCAGTCATCTCCATGGTGGGATCTACTACAAGCAGCTGAGAAGCTGCCTTAGGGAATGTGATTTGCTTCCTATATATAAACAGAAAGCTTGCAGAATGGTCTCTAGCTTATGGCACCTTGAACCCTGC